TGGGGCTTCAAGCTTACCCATAGGCCCTTAGAATCCTATTAGGGACTCCCAAAAAGGAACTACTATGGGGCCTATGGGTAAGTTAGGCTAGGGATGTTGAGGGCTGACTGAGGCGGCTTAGGGTGCAGGCCTGAGTTGCCGTTGGGGGCTGTTTAAAGAAGGGTGGTGCAGGGTTTACAGAGCTTTGGGATGATGTGGAGAGTTGGGCGTTTTCGGGGAATCATGAACTTCCCGGCGAAGGGGGCTTATGAGGGTTTAGGGTTTAGGTTTTTTTTTTTGGCTGGTATTTGGCGTAATTCGAGCCTTGGGCCGTCGGAGTGGAATGCCTTTGCCTTGCTAAACCAGGGCTGGGGTCCGGCGTGGAGATTGCGGGTGTTCCTCGGCAGCTTCCTTCTTTTTTGGCGGAGTGGCCTTAACCCTAAACCCTAAACCCTAACATATATACACACACACACATATATATATATATATATATACATACATACGTATATGTACACATACTGAATACTCACCCTAAGAACTAGGCCAGGAGACCTGCTCGCAGCCGGTTGATAGCCCGAAGACGGGTTCTGAAGTCGCAGCCATAGGCAAGCACAGTGTTGCTACGAACTCTGGCAGAAGGTTTGGGGTTGGCAGAAGATGCAGAACGATGATGGTTGAACAACAGGAATAAGCGCAATACCAATCGCTTTTGACATGGTTTCTAGTTGTGAAAAGACTCTTCAAGCTCGTTATAAGAGTTCAGAACGGCGAGTAATCATCACGATATCGTGCTACTCTAACTTAAACCACCAAACCAAAGGACCAATAATCCGAGGTCTGAAAGGTTTAGGCTTTACCGTACCCCCTAATAACCTGCCTCTTTAAGGATGTATATAATGAAATCGTGATAAAGGCCCTAAGTACTCAAAGATAACTTATGGGGTCCAGGTAAGGCCATAATGTAGGGGCCTTAATAAATAGAATACGGTTTTTGGGGGTTCCTTACTATAGTTCTAGTATAAAAAACCCCAAACCCTACTCTAATTATTAAGGCCCCTATATTGACTCTTGAAACCTAAACCCCAATCCTCCCCCCAGCTGGGTCGACTCCCTCTTCTCGGACGCACACGCTACTGCCCTGATCTCGCCGTTCATGTGGATGGTGTTGAAGGGCCGGATTCCTTGATACCCTAAACCCTAAGCCCTAAAACCTAAACCCTAAACCCTAAACCCTAAAACCCTAAACCCTAAACCCTAAACTCTAAAACCCTAAACCCTAAACCGTGGTTTGGGGAGTTTCGGAGTTAGGATTTTCAGCTCTGGGCTCGGATTCTGTAGGTTTGTGGACCCAAAGCCCTAAACCCTAAACCCTAAAACCCTAAAGCCCTAAACCCTACAACCCTAAAACCTAAACCCTAAACCCTAAAAGCCTAAATCCTAAAACCCAACACCCCATAACCTTAGACAGAGTTCTTGGGGGGAGCTTTCCGGTTTCGGCTGAGGGTTCAGGATCTCGGAGGTACATCTAATATAGGGGCCTTACACGGCTTAGGGTTTAGGGTTTGGGTTCGGCCTTACTAATTACCTATGCTATTTTGGGGGTTCCTTCTTATAACTGTAGTATAACGGGCCAAAAAACCCTATTCTGGTTATTGAGGCTCCTATATTAGGAGCGTGCCTGGGGGATTTGGGAGTGGGGGTTTCGGGCTTCAACTCTTCAACCCGATGAGTTTTGGGTTTAGGGGTTTTCAGGGGGTTCAAGGGCATAGGGGCTTAGGGTTTAGGGGTTTAGGGTTTCGGGTTTAGGGTTTCGGGTTTAGGGGTTTCGGGTTTAGGGGTTTAGGGCCTAGGTTGGAATCTTCTGGGTTGTTTAGTTTATAGGCTA